CTTAAAACACTCATTCATGACATGGGTGCAAGTATTCTTATTTAGTAACAGAAAAGGTATTAGGATAAAAAGTTGTATAATGGTGCAATTGACAGCACCTTGTCAAGTTATCTCCCTTATTTATTGTTTCTAATCTCACTTTACTGTGTTTCTTCAGTGAAGGTCTGAACACAGAATCATACAGGGTAGAAGAGGCCTCCAGGCCTGTATGAAGCAAATCAAACCTCCTGTGTGAAGCAAGCCCAGCTGGAGCTGGGAGGTTGCCCAGTTGAGTTCTTAATGTTCATTCTTCTGATTATTCATTTAAAATATTCATTTGATGCAGCAAAGTGCAAAATAAAACACTTTTAAATAGATCCAAGTTGTAAAACCAGAGAATTGGCAGCAAACCTGAGCAGTACATCCAGTACCTGTATCAACTGGAATGTTATGAAATAAGTAAGCAATTGTCTAGACTTCCACTCACCCTTGCTCATTTTGCCTGAACAAACTTTTTAAAATTCTGCTCTTGGGGGAGATTTCCTAGAAAAAAAAGATACATTGGATTTCTTTCAGTGTGGAGCAAAACACTCATTTTTCTTTTCTAGCCAAGTAAATTTCTTGCAAGAATATTGGGTTTTTTTGTGTTTTTATAATAGCACAGAAAACTACAGGAAATAGTTGAATATAATTGTATTTCATCCCAGAACAATAGCTTGAAAAATGTAATGGCCATTCATAAAAGTGACTGTGAGTCAAACATGGTAAAAGTTTGTCTCAGTTTAAGACAATTTAAAAAGTGGACAATCGCAAATTAATTACCTCCCCTTATAGTTTTAATCAGTCCATTTCCACCATAAGGAGAAATGAATATGAGTTTACATAAGTGAAAAGAATAAAGATTTACAAATATACGAAAGAGCAATAGGCAAAAAAATCACAGGAATCACCATTGATTCAAAATTGATGAATCTCACTGGCCCTCCCAGAAAAAAGAGGAACTTAAAATGACTCCTCCAGGATGGTGGCCCCCACAGCTGGCAATGTGGTTTGAAAGATGAAGGGAAGTTAGTGACAAGCATATCCTGGGAAGGTAGGAGCTTACGAAGCAGTTCTGGTGGCAGATGGAAATCGCAGGCATTGCTGGGGTGTGACTCTGGCCCCACAGTATCAGGCTCTGGTTTGTTGGATGTGGGTGCTGCTGTCTCTCTCTTTCCTGTCATCCAGGAAAGAGAGAGACTCTGCTGGCATTGGTGCTACTGTTCCTGAGCCATTGGTGTGTTGGGAGGGAGCAGCAGGGAAGAAACAGTCCCTCAGCACTGATGTGTGGTGACCCAACTTTTACTGTCTGTCGTGGTTTGACACAGAAAAAGAATTTTTCTTGGAAGGAAGAGGTCAATTGATATTGACCAATTGAAGGTGGACACGCCTCTGAGAACACAGAGGGGTTAAAAGCAGAATTCCCAGGGGAACTCGCTCTCTTTGGTTCCGGTCAGCGTGCAGTGCAGGACTCTCCCCTGCCCGGCCGTGGCTGGGTGGGGAGGGGGAGGCCCATGGCCTGACTGAGGTGGGCCCAGGGGTGGAGGGGCTGGAACCGGGCTGGCCCCTGCAGATGGAAGGGTGAGGGGGCCACAAGGTGCCCAGCCACCTGTGGGAGCTGGAGCCTGGGCATCGAGCCAGCCCTGGGAGTCGGGACTTTTAACCCTTCCTTGAGAAATGAAGGCTTTGTGAAATATTACTCCTCCTTGGTTTGAAGGAAAAAGAGACAGCCTGGGACCTGAGATTGTGAGGGAAAGAAGGTTGGGGGGAGATGATGGAATGGCTTTTGGCTGGACTTTTCCTTTGTAGCCACAGACTGAACCGATTTTCTCCTTCAAGAGAGACTGTATTTTAGGAGGATGCTGGTGAGCCAAAAAGACCATGCTTCAGCTAGGAAAAGACAGAAGTGGAGTGAACAGAGAAAAGTTAGGGAGGTTTGTGGTGGTGCCCCCTGTCTTCAAAGAAGAAGAGAAGAGAAGAAGATCTCTGTTCTTGGACCCTCGGCTCCAGCGGAAAATGGGGGGACTGTGGTCCCAAAAATGGAAAACTGAACTGTTGTTTTTTCCCTCTTGGCAGAGCATCCTTAAAAGGAAAAAAAGTCCTAAAAGCAGTCTGTCCATCCATGCATTCGTGGTGAGAGCACCGAGCATGGAAAGGAGAGGGTCACCATGGGAAACTTTTTCTCCGGGTGGTGCCATGCGTGACATGGAAACACAGGATGTGGCAGCTGTATTTCTTGGGGGTCTGTGGCATGGGAGGGACTCCTCTCTCCCTTGATGAACTGAGTATCAATTGTCTGGAGGGTGATTGGTGTCCAGGTTGTGTCTTGCTGTGGTTTGTTGGAGTTGGGTGGTGGGAGGAGGAGTGTTTTGAAAGGTTTTCATTTTGAATTTTGTGGTTGTTTTCCTTTCTTTTTTCTTTTATAATAGTATAGTAATAGTAGCTTAATAAAGTTTTTTCCCTTGTTATTAAGCTTGGGCCTGCTTTTGCTCTGTTCTCGATTGAATTTCACAGCATTCAATTGAGAGATTGCATTTTCATGGGGGCACTGGTATTGTGCCAGTGTCAAACCATGACACTGTCTCAAGCTTTGCACAGTGAACAGATATTGCAAAATTCATTCCAAAACAGATTCTGATTGTAAAATGCAGCTTTTTGGGTTGCAACTGTTGTAAGCCCAGAAAAACCCACCTGAACCAACATCTGGCTTGAGCAAATGCCATGAGAGAAGAGAGCACTTGGCTTGAGCGCTCCAACATTTTAAAGGGATTGGCACCACTCCCACCTGCCGTGCAATTCTGTTTCTGACTGTGGTGCTGGGCCTTAAAGCGTTAAACTATTTTAGGCACAGGCAGATCAGGAATCCACTAGCATTTTGGGTTACCCAGGACAGAGTATAGCTGTGGAAAATGAGTATTTTATGATTGGCTCTTTGCAAATATTAAATTGAATATTATATGTATTATGGAGGGTTATTTTGTAATACTGTATTAATCCTTTTTAAACAGTGTGTTAAATATAGTTTTAGGTTATAACACAATGTTAAAATAGAAACTCTGCAATGTAAGATACTTTTTACTAGCTCAAGAAAAAAGATAAGAAACTCTTTGCACAGAGATAACAGTGACACGGAACCTGAAGAGTTACGGCCTCCTTATTGGAAAAGACAAACATTCTTCCCCGTCTCTCAGTCTTAATGGAGCTACCAGGATTAAGGGGAAGAAGTTGACGAAAACCAGAAAAAAATCGTAATTTTCAAGGAATTTATGCATCATGTATGAGATATATGAATATGCAACAGGCTACTGATTTTAAGGGTTATTCCTTTGTTCACAATACATGTTTTTGGCAGCTTAGTGTCCAAAACCATCCAGACATCTGTAATTCTTTGCTTTTTATTGTCTTGTAATTGTCCTAACTCTACGTTTTTATTACTCTAATTATATGACTATTTTTATAACCATTTTATTAAACTTTTAAAATTCTAAAAACAAGTGATTGATGTTTTTCACAATAGCACAAATGTTATTTAAGTCTCAGGGAGGAATTCTCTACTTTCAAACTCCTGTTGGAATATGGCCACGTTTCTCACTTTTTTTTTTTCTGTTGCTTCTTAAGGCCAAGTCTATTTAATCAGACATTATCTTTTCAGATGTTCTGGCTGCAATGCTGACCATTTTGAAATTGATCCTACTGACTAAATTCCCTTCAGTTAATTGTGGCAAGATTTCAGCTTATATGTTTATAAAACATTTCTTCACAATACTCTCAAAAATTTCCAACCTTTTCTAACCTGTCTCTTGAGGTTCCAATAACTTATTACCATTTATTAACTTTGTGACATTTATTGACTTTGTAACTTTTAAACTTTTGCAGCCACATCCTGAAGTTTCCAAAAGACTTTTAATATTTTTGGTTGGCTTCCTAGGAAAACAGGCTTATGAAGTTATGCTGCCTGTTCCTGTGTTTGTTCACCTCAATGTCTTTGATCCTGTTTTTCAATTTCAGCCAAACCCAATGGAAAATAGAGGTCTCACAGACATTACTCCATTCAAGTGGAGTAGAAACACACAATTCAATGCTTGAAAGTTAATGGTTCTGTTAATTTAGCTTGAGAACCTTGTACTTGCCCTGAAACAAGGCACGGTGTGCTCTGTGTCTTATGCAGGGGAGTTCAATGGCGTGGGATGGGTTGGGACTTTGGGAGAATTACCTGGGCACAGGTCGTTTGGGGAAGGTGGGAATTCAGCTAGTCACTGTAGATTCAACATCCTCCAGAACAACTGGTTGTTGCTATAAGGGTGGCAGCTGGCTTTGTCAAGTTCACGGCCTACAAACAAGGACCGTGATGACAGGTATTTTAGGGCTGACGGTGCACTCCCACACGGGAACAAACGTCCCTGCGGAGCCTGAGGGGCTGAACAGTACCACATGGTGACGGCTCAGAGACGAGACTCGAGGATGAGCAGTTGTCCCCGCTGCCTGCTGGTGTGCACCAGGGCGGCTCGGACCCGTCCCCGTCCCGGTCCCCGTCCCCGCCGGGGACTCAGCCGCAGCCCTGCCGCCGCCGCCGCCGCGGAGCCCCGCCGGGAGCGCGCCCAGCCCGCGCCGCGCCCTCCCCGCCGCGGGAGCCTCGGCACCTTCGCTCAGGCTGCCATCGGTGCGGCGAGAGGACACAGCCTCAAGCTGTGCCCAGCGAGGCTAAGGCTGGACCTAAGGAGGAATTTCTTCACAGAAAGCGTGATTAAACATTAGAATGAATTTCCTAGGCAGGTGGTAGAGTCACCGTCCCTGCGGGTGTGAGGAAAGACTGGACGTGACACTCCGGTACTGTAGACTAGCTGACATGGTGGGTTCCAGCCCGACGATGGGCTGGAACAGGACGATCCCAGATGTCTTTCTACACCAAGTTCATTCCGTGACTCTGCGGGTTTGCGCTGCCCTCTCTGAGAGCGGCGCGGCAGCGCTTGGCCTCGCCGGGCCGCCGTCGGGGGCGGGCCCGCGGCACAGCCATGGCGGCTCCCGTCGTGCCGCAGAGCAACAGGTACCGGCGCTGCGGCCGCCGGGCCGGGCCGGGCCCTGCGGAGCCAGGCGGGGCGGGGCGGGCACCGCCGGCACCGCCACGGTGCCGGGGCTCCGCGGGGCTCCGCGGGGCTCGGGTCCGTCTGACACCCCTCCCTCCTTCCTCCCAGCATCCGCAGGGCCGTGTCGCTGCTCAACGCCGTGGACCCAGGCCGGTTTCCGCGGCTCCTCTCCCGCCTTCTGCAGAAGCTGCACCTGAAGGTTGGCGGGGCGCGGGGAGTTGTCTGGGGGTCGTGTAACGCGGAGCCGGGCGGGGCGGGAGCGGGGCTCGGCGGTGCCGGAAGGACGCGGGCCCGGGCCCGGGCCCGGCCGGAGCTTGGGCAGCGCGGCTGCGCACCCTGAACACAAGCCCCGCTCCTTCTTGGGGGTTTTAGATCTGGATTTCGTTCATCACGAGATCTTCAGAGCTGTATCGGGGACGTGAAGTAAAAGCCGGTGTCGCATGTCGTGAGATCGATTGATGCTTGTTGTAGCCCGCTGCCTCCAAGTGCTGGTGCCTTCAACAGTGCTGTCAGAGGACCCGCGAGTTGCTTGGCCTTTTGCACAAAGTCCTCTTTTACGCTCACAAATGTTGTCCACAAAAATCGGATTTGATATCCGGTTTGTAAAAAGCCAGTGATTACACACTCGAGCGAGACATTGGTTATTTATTTCAGAATTGTGCAAGCCCGATTTTCAGTGGTGTTCCCCAAGGCAAGCACCCCCAGCGTCAGAACTTTTTACCGTTTATCCATTTTAGCAAACAAAGGCTTCAGTGTTAATTGACAACAAGTTACATAGTTTTTATTGGTTAATATTTTGTCTTCTACTGTTTAATGATTTTCTCACTTCCCATGCTAATTAGTCTGCATGCTCAGTCTTTCTCTTCCCTTGAGTCAGTGGGCTTCTTGGGTTTGTGGTCTGTGAGCTGGTGGTCACTGATTCCTCTGCAGGAATTACCTTTTACCCAGTTGGAGCTGATTGCAGCACAGTTGCTGAATTGGCTTTATCAGTTTCTCCCTTATCTTGTGAGTTCTGCCAAATGTCCTTGAGACCCATAAATTCTGCATTCTTTGCATTCAATATTGGTGGTACATCCTCCCCAGGTTTTGTTACCCTTCCCCTAGGTCTGAGGTCACTGATGCATGCCAAGACCAAAACCTTAACAAGGCAATTCTTCCAAGAAGTATTGTGTCTTTCTAAAATCTGCTCATCACAGCAGAGCTTGTTAGCTGCTCTCTGTTTCATGAATTAAGTCACCTTTCTTCCTGATTAGGCTTGAAAGTATACAAAGATTAACCATCAAAGAACATTCTTTCTTAAGAAAATGTTACATGTTCTGCGTTTTACAATACAAAGGAAGCACTAAATGGGTGTTTTATATATTTTTCTGCATTTGTGGATGTCCATCAATTAAAAACACCTGTGGAATTGAGGATAAAAGTTAAATCCAGAGCTCTTAGTGAATATTTCTGTCGTCTTTGCAGAAGATGATTACTGATTGCAGAATCAAAAGAAATAAAATAAATAACAAAAGAGAAAGTAAATCAGTATTCAGTTTCATTTCACAGTGCTCCAATGTCAAATGCAGGCTAACTCTAAACCTTGTACTAAATATTGAAGGGGAAACTGAAAAATGAATCTTACATCAGAAATTATTTTGTTAGTTTCATTGTCTTACAGTGTCAGATTTTGTTTATTCCATTGTTTTGTGTTTAGAAAAATGTAAGAAGAAATACAGAATCTGTTTTCTATACATATATATATAGACTAAATGGTAAAATATTACAGGAACAGCATGGAAAAACTTGCAAATATATTAAAGATTGTAAGTCTGACATTGTAAGGATTCATTTGATTCAACAGCTGAGTTTTTGTTGTTGTTGTTGTTGTTGTTGTTTTCTAATAACATCACTAGCTTGGATGCCACTTATTGCAGAGAGTTTTCTCTGTTTTGCATGGATATTACCTGTTAGGTAATGGGAATGCATCACCAACTTTTTGTTTAGTTTGTTCTTTTTCACTACTCCATAGCATTTTAGTAGCTCTTCACAGTTTTAATTGGCATTTACATGAGCTGAAGTGTTTCTTGTAATTCAGCCCACTCAATATCATGAATAGTTTTACTTTCTAAAGTACCTAAGTAACTAGTTAAATTGCTGGAAGTTTGAAATGAACTTCATTGCCTTAACAAAGCAGACACTGGGAACTCTGTATTTCCTTTTAACAAATAATGATTCAGATAATGTTTCCATTTTGAGTCTCTTGTTATAAACGTTGTGATCGTTGAAAGTTTTGTGTAATTGCCTCATTTTTTTATTTGGACAGCTAAATTGTTTTGCTTGTCTAGCTTTGCAGTTTTGGATTACTAAGTGGTCTAAATGTGGTGTTTATTAGTAATTGGGTTTTAAAATAAGGCAATGTCTGCATTTTAAATTACTATTTAATTTGCTGTAGTATAGTAAGTACAAAAAACTGTATTTTTAAAGTACAGCACATTCTCAATTGTCTTCAGAAACTCAGGAGGCTATAGATTCAAATTTGACTTTCAAAATAAATATTCATTAGGCCTTTATTGCCTTTGCAACAACATGGGTGATTTTTTGAAGGGTATCCAGAATGGAAGCTGCATGCATGACTAACTTAACTACAGTTTTGCCTTCTGTTTTCTGGGATTTTAGTAATGCAGTTTGTATTTGCCTTATTTTTATTTATAAAAGTTTGTTGGAGATTATCTGATAATTGGAAGAATAATATTTCTGTAGTGTCTATGAGGCACAAAGAGAAAGCTTTTTCTTTTGATGTATGTCAGATAATCCTGTGGTACTGGGTTGGCTTTTAATTTTGATTTTCAGTGAGAAGAATTGCATCTGCTTTGTAATTTCTATTTAGAAACAACTGGATAGCGGTTGTGTTTATAAAGATGAGGAGAAAATTTTTACTTCGAAAATATGTTCTTGGTTCTTAAATAAAATGTTAGGACTAACCATTTTTGTGCTTCAGGCTGAAAGTACCTTCAGTGAAGAGGAGGAAGAAAAACTTCAAATAGCTTTTTCATTGGAAAAACAGGATCTTCATCTAGTTCTTGAAACTATATCATTCATTTTGGAACAGGTATTTTGTTTTCACCATTTGGCAGTAATAAATGTATTTTTTTATCCAGCTATAGATTTGAAAAATAGGACAGTGAAGTTAAAAAGGAAGTAGTGAAAATATATCTATATATATATATATATCTGTATATTTTGTATGTTTTGGGTTTATGATTTAACTGCTTATTGTTTCTTGCCTTTCTGATTTGGATGGGACTAGGTGCCTTTGTGCAGTGATTGTACAGCTAGTGTAAATATTAATAATATAAGTGAGGTCTGCAATACTCCAAGGGAACTCTTGATAATTATGAGATATAGTATTCTCTATTATTCATTGTATCAAGCAGCCATGCATTTTTTAAGTTTTTGTGAGGAAAGTCCTAGATAACATTACTGAGCACAGTTTAACTTACGTTAGGATTCAGTTATGGAAAATTTTCATGCACAGAAGCAGTCTGTACTGAGGTGAACAGGCACAACTAATATAGGTCAAGAATTTGGAGAAGTGGATGACTGCATGGTGCAGTCATGTTGTAAACAGAGTAAGTTTTCTGATTTGGTGGTCTATCTCTACTAAAGCTGGGAAGCTTATATTAACCAGTAAATATGGTAACTTTTAAAAATTGTTAAGCTCATGCTATTATCCATCCATTTAATGCAACTATGGAAAGTTGAGTCTTGTGCAGAGGGCGTGCATAGTGGTGGTCTTTTAGAGGATTTAAATCTGGTTCTTTCTTACACGTCAGTTTACGATCAGTTCACTTAATTAACACAATCCGCTGCATTAGAAATAAAACAAACAGTCCTCCTTGTGGCTTCTATCCACCAAAAAATCAAAATGAAACCTGAGGTCACCTCCAGACTGCAATTTTTAATTTTCATCTCAGCAAAACAGGAGAATTGCTTGTTTACTCCCTTTTCCTGATTTTGTCCAACTGCTTAATTTATAATTATTGAAGATGAACAGGAAAAGCAGTTAATTCTCTTCATGCTTCTTTTGCATTAGAAAAAAAAAAGAGGGAAGAATATTAATATCTACCAAAAAAAAAGAATCCAAGATGGACTACATATTGTATGAGAACTCTTTGTTTTCCTGCTGATAGCTGGCTTCTTGGAGCAGCTGTTTATTCTGTCAGATAATAACTGTTTTAACAGCACTTTGGTCTGTAGAGGCATTATAAAGAAAAAGACTGCCATACAGTCTTTGCCTTGCATGTTGTTTGATTTTTAACCAGACTTGGTGGTGACACAGTCCTGTTTTAAAAGTGGAAAACCATATAGAATGTCTTCCACAAAAAAATTGATGGTAATAGGGAGGTAATATTGAACTCATTCAGTTTAGGCAAACTGTTCTGGTCTTCCAGAATACTACCTTGTAGTTTAGTTTTTCTTGAATAGTGTGAATTTGGAAAAGTTCTTCTTTCTTGAATGGGCTTCAAAGCCCATCTGTTTTTCATGGATAGCTGCTTTGCCATTATATACAGTGGAAACCTGTACATACATTCAGATCTGACTTGTGTCTTCCTTTTTGTTTTAGTGTCTATCTCGAGAAGAGTAATTTGTAACACTGCATTTTGAGATTGTTACAGTTTTCCATTCACCAAGTAGGAGGATTAGGATGAAAAGGATGCAGTAGTTCCCCTAACAGAGTTGCTAGTAAAAATCTTGTGTGAACACAGTGGCCATTTGTGCTAGAATGTATCTGCTATGTCCTGTAGAACAGCACCTTGCAACAGCACTTAATTTTTCCTTTAACAGGCAGTTTATCACAATTTGAAGCCTGCTTCACTGCAACAGCAGCTACAAAGCATTAACCTGGATCAAGACAAAGCTGAAGCATTTACTAGTGTGTGGGCAGCTGCAGGTCAAGATACGATTGAAAAGTTCAGGCAGAGGGTTTTAACCCCTCAGAAGGTAATGTGACTTTTCTTCTGAGAGAGAATAAAGTTATAATAGTTCAGTTTAAAGCAAAGAGTTTTAAATTAAGGTGTAAAGTTTGTGACAAGCCAGGTCAAATTTGAACAGGACAGTTGAATCCTTTTGTTTTAAAGAGATGTTACATGTTAGCTGAGCTGCTGTAACTGCTGTTACCCAGCTATATATGCACTATTAGCATCCTGCATACTTTCGGTGAACAGGCTTTACAAAATGCCCAGAGGACAATGTGTTCATGAGCATTTGTGGAGATTGAGCACATCAGGTTGGTCATTCTCTGTGCTTGTGTCTGAGCTCCTGCCATCTTTAATTGTGTAAGCTGGTTGCATAGTGAATTTTGCAAGATACTTATTATAATTTTATGGTGTTTTTCTATGATGGCATATAATCTTGCTTCCTATGTGTGTATTGCCACTTAAAACTTGCTACATGCTTTGGAAGTCTCACTGTATCTCTAGACATAGATGTCTATATCTATAACAAGGTATAATATAGTTTTGTTGACTCATAATAACCCTTCAAATGCATAAGGAATTCTATATAGAACACACCAGTGTCAGCCAGGATCAAATTTTTAGAAAGACTTGTGAAACACAACTCGGTTATTCTTACTTTATTTTTATTGTTGCGTTATATTTTGTTGAGATAAGATTCGGTTTGTTAACTAATGATTTGATGACTAAGATAAACATAGAAAATAAATTGTATCTATTAAGTATACATGATGCACAGAGAGAACTATAACAGTGTAATTTGTACCAGCCTGCTTGCTCTTAAATAAATCTAGAATTTCACTTAGGTGTAAAATTCACATTTTGAGAATTTTGAGAAGATGAGGTATATCTATGGAACAAACTAAAGATACTCTGAATTGCATCGCAATTCATTTTTTTCAAAGTATTTAAACTTGATCCTTTGTAACACTGGGTAATTTTAGACACAAAACTTACAGGATTCTGATGTGCAAAATTACAATAACTCATGAATCTAACAGAGTAAATGACTGATAGTGTAAGTATACAAAAAAAGAAAATCAAGATATTTTGTGTTTCTGTTTTGTTTTTTTTTTAAATAATATTACTGATGCCAAGTGTACAAGTCCAGAGTTTAAATGGTCAGTGGGATGGTAAGTATAGAGGCAGGTATGACTGTCCATTGAAGGAGGTAAGTAATTTGAAAACCAATTGAAATAATGAAAGATTATAAGGTAAACTTTTCAATATACAGAATATATGTACAGAGTGGAAGGCAGTTCTGAATATAGCCTACAAAGCAGATGTCTTTAAAATTTTCTTCAGGCAGACTATGAATTAATACATGTTTTACTCCTGGCTCCTCAGCCTATGAGAAACTAGTAAAAACACCTTTCATCCTGTTACATTTCCAGTTCTTACCATATATACCAAGGTCCTTCTCTGATCTGGTTTGGGAATGACATTGCTCTGTTATTTGTCTTAAGTTTTGTCAGCCCTGCAACATACAATGTTTCTGGTGTATGTTACAGTTTTGTATGGTGCAGTTTTGGAGGTTCTTTCTAGCTTCAGCACCATCTGCTAAGGCAATGGTGTTTTCCTACTGTATTACATCCCATATAAAAAAGTTTTAAATGGTCTATTTAATTGAACTTGCAGGTAGGCAACTGCAGTAATATTGTTGTGTCATTTACTTGTTTTTTAGTGTGAAAGCAGGTTTAAATACAGGTGTGTGCTGCTACATATGCTTAAACCATCATTTCCCTCCTGCCTTTTTAATTTTTTGCCCAGATAACAGGCTGAGTTTCAATTTAAGTGTAAGTTGAACTCGAACATGAATTTGCTTTCTCAGTTTGTTTTGAAAGTCTCTGAAGTATTACTCCTGTAGACTTGAAGCTTATGATAGTTTTTCTTAAAGATTAAGTTCACAAAACTAATTGCTGAATAAAGAATTAATTCTGCTAGCAAGAAGTAAAATATTTTAAAAATTGGATCATAATGGAAGAACAACTTGCCATATCCTTATAATCTTCTGAATCTCTTTGTAATATCTTACAAGTGCAGTAGGTGACTGCATTGTGTTGTTCACTATTGTGTGTAATTGCATATCTGCATGTATTTTCTGTATTAACTTTCTGTACCTTGAAAAACAGTGGGCAGAATATTCTCTTGTTGTACATTGATGTACTAGCCAATTTTTTGTAAAGTTCTTTATCATCTCTTCAACTGAAGTTAGAAAAAAGTTATAATCCTGACAAATGCTTGGAGAAGGATGATTGCTTTTTTGATTACAATAATATACAATCTAAAATTTACAATTTTAGATTACAATGATAGACAATTTAAGTATTTATATTGATTTAGAGATTATATTAACTTATTTATTTGTATAAAAATATGTGTAGTCAATTATTAATACCCTCTTCAACATGTAAATATGGGTGTAACATATTAAATAATTGATCCTATAAATATGCCCTCTATATCAGTATTTATTTATGTGGGCATATGTTAATTTTCAATTTACATTGTTCACTTCTCTTCCAGAAGCAATATTCTGTACAGAAAAAGAATGACATTTATATTATCACAGGTTCCAGCAACATAGTCAGAGAATAGTTGAAGCTGGGAGGTACCTCTGTAGTGTATCTGATCCAGCCCCTCTGCTCAAGCAGGGACATCTAAACCCAGTTGTTCAGGACCATGTCTAGACAGCACCTGAACATCTGTGAGGATGCAGATTCCACATTCTTCCTGGGCACTCTTTGTCAGCTCTGGGCCGCCCTTGAAGTGCCTAAATGTTTTCCTGTGTTCTAAGGGAGCCTCCCATATTTTAGTTTGTGCCTGTTGCCAACTGTCCTCTTACTGGGCCTCACTATAAAGAGCCTGGCTCAGTCTTTTCAGCTTTTCTTCACATAAGGAGTTAAAAAGCTTTCTTGTGGCTTCTTCTCATATGTGAGGTACTCTTCCTTATCCGTTCCCTGCCCTTCCTATCTCTTCATGATCTTGATGGCCTTTGCTATACACTTTACAGTACCTACATGACTCCTATTCTGTGAGGCCCAGTGCTGATTATGCTATTCCGGGTGAGGCCTCACCATTCCTGAGTACAGGGGAAGGATCATTTTCTTCAGCCTGAGGCAATACTCCTCCTAGAGCAGTCCAGGATGTCTCATGATCAACTTGGTGTCCACCAGGAGCCTCAGATTCTTTTTCATAAGGCTTTTTTCCAGCTGGACAGCATCCAGCTTGTACTGGTGCTTGTTCTCTCCAGTGCAGGACATTTCACCTCCTCTTGTTGAACTGAGGTGTAAAATTCACATTTTGAGTATTTTGAGAATATGAGGTATATATATGGAACAGACTAAAGATACTCTGAATTTTAAAAGGTTATAAAAATGAGTACTGTCCTTGTCTTGTGTAACCTCCTGTGTAATAAAAACCGTAATTTTTCCTCAATATGTAAAAGAGCTTTTGGAACAGGAATCTGGTTGTGATTTCCAGGCTTGAAATGACAGGTAATGTCTGACTGGAGAGGTTCCTGTCAGACCATTTCTCCAGTCTGTCCAAGTCCCTCTGGACGGCAACACAACCCTTTGGTGTACCAACCACTTCTCTCAGCTCTTCTCAGACCTGAACTGGAGTATAGCATGAGTGGCTGGCTAAGGGGCTCCCAGCACCACACAGACACATCTGTTGAAATGAGTCCACAGGAGGGCCATTGAAGTGATTCAAGGACAGGAAGACCTTTGCTGTGAAGACAAATTGAGACAGTAGGGGTTGAGCAGCCTGCAGAAGAGAAGGCTTCAGAGAAACATTGTTGTAGCTACTCAGTACTTAAAGGGGGCTAATAAGAAAGATGGAGAGGGATGTTTTACCAGGGTATGTAGTGGCAGAACAAGGGGCAATGGTTTTAAATGGAAGGATTATGGATTTAGACTGGATTTAAGGGAGAAATTCTAGATGAGAGTGGTGAGACACTGGAGCAGGTTGCCCAGAGAGGTTGTGGATGCCCTGTCATTGGAAGTGTTCAGAAGATTGCATGAGGTGTTGATCAGCATGATCTAGTGATCAACATGTTCCCAGCCCATGGTGGGGAAATTGGACTAGATAATTTTTAGAGGTCTCTTCCAATCCAAACCATTCTATGAGTCTATGAATGCTAGTTGTTGTTTGGTTTTTCTTTTCCCTTTCATGTTCTTTTAAAAATACATACCTGCTTTTTGGTTATCATTGCGTATTTGGTATGGACTGTTGCTGACCTGTTGAGGTGGTGTGCAGTACTACATATGAATTCAGAATTTAGTTCATATGTGGTTCTTTCGTACTTTTGCTTACCATGTGCTTTCTGCACATTAGTAACTCTAAAATTTCTTTATTAGAAGGTTTAGTGGGTGTTTAAAGGGTTTGATTCTGTGGATCCAAGTGCGGAATCAGGGTCATGATTAATATTACTGAGGTCTCGATAGTTCTGTACCAACACATACACAGTGTCCCTGCACACATTCACGAGACAGAGTTTATCAAATAACTAAGATAGGTTTAGAATTTTACATTGTGTTTTATTAAAAGGTGTGGGACAAAATAATGCTAAGTCTTTCCTGACACATGGTACTTAGAGGTTGTCTGTTTTGGAAGTATTGAAATGCTAACAGTACAGTATTTTCTGTCATGTACACAAGAAGGACTGAGCTGTAATCTGTTTCTTTTTCAAAACAATAAAAATGACAATTTTTTTTATTAAGGGTGTGCTTTACACATTAAGAGGACATTGGAACTTGTGTGATTAATTAGCTTGTCACAAACTAGTGGGTAACTGAGTGTTCAAGTTTATTTCATAATAAAACAAAAAATTTGACTTCTGCTATTTTTGAGAGTAGGCCAGTGCATCGTTTGGCTTTCAGAAGTGTTCAGGTTTGGACTCAAGATCACTAGTTATGATAAATAATTTCTTGCAGGTAATTTTTCTTTATTGTTGTGGTATTTCTTTTAAACTAGATTATTTTC